TGGTTTCGGTTCTCTTGCGGGTCGACTATAAACCCGTCGCGACTCAAACGCACGGTATGTGCGGCCAAAGTATACTTCTTGAGTCGACAGCGAAGACACACCCCCTGAACGGCCGCCGCTTCTCTCTTGCGGTCCTCGCCTTCTGTCAGGTCTTTGACTGATCTTCTCGTCAAACGAATCGTTTCGTAGATCTGTTTTTTCCCGATCTGTTGGAATGGACTCACATTCGATCGCAACAACTTAGAGGTGCCGCTAAACTTGCGCTCTCCTATGCTTTTGACAAATGTCTTGGAAGTGATGGCAACTTTCGGATCAGTCATTCCCATCGCTTCGTACAACTGTTTCATATCTTCCTCCAGACCCGTGCCGTCCGACTGCTGTCCGTTCGCGCGCCGTATGTCTCGCGCCAAACATCTGATGGCCTCAATGTCCAAACCCGTGGGCGACTCGTCTCTCAAGTAATAGTAGTAGACATAAGTGGCGCGAAGTTCTCCGGTGTGTCCGCCGTGGTCTACATTCCTGTCCAAACAGCACAACCCTAACAGCCAGTCATTGAAAGTTACGAAAGGGTTTTTGCATTGACTGAATGACCGAAACAGCGACTGATGATCGGCAACCGATGGCAGATCCACTGCCGGGAGACCCACTTTCTTCATGTAATCCGTGAATGAATACAGACTGAAGTATTGCGAGGGAAACGTGTGTTGAATGTATTGGCCGTAAAGCTCTGACACCTCTTTGTCCGCATAACCGGCGCCTCTAACCAACTCTTCCTGAAATGTCTTCGGCTCTCCGTCTTTGACCACATATTTCATGGCGTCTTTGATGGAGAACTCGCTGTAATTGTCAACAATTTGGTTCTTTTTGAAGAGCGCGTCGACCAATAGCTGAGGTTCGGGTCCCCACACGTCCGGCACTTTGCCACCCGTCAGCTCATCCACTGTCACCCATTTCGTTGTCTTCGATGTCTGACAGCAATTGGTCGGGAATTTGCCGCTCGAATCCACCTTTAGCTCAGTCTTGAAGACACATCGGGTGATGAAATCAAAGTATTGAGGCATTTGGAGCCGATATATGTGAACGAGTTGTGGTGTTTTGAACGGCAGATAATTCTTCTCTGTCTTTGTCTTTGCACTCACTTTCAACGCTGTCTTCAAGAGTCTGACCGTCGAGTCGTACCAACTCTCGCCGTTTCTGATGGCACTCACGGGAAACCAATAGCCCTTTTGCGGACCGATTTTACTCAACGCCAACTTATTGTGTTGTGGACACCATATGAGCGCACAACACGTGTCGAAGAGATCGCGTCCATAATTGGCAACTAATGAGTCTTCTGGCGACGGCTTTTTTGATGTAAACTTTCCCGAAGTTTTGGTGTCCACTGAAGCGGTCGACTCCATAGACGGCGTCCGACCCGTTGTTATCCCCGTCTGAGACCGACTCGACTTCACTTCTTTCCCTCCTTTGTCCTCCTTTTTCGACATTCTTCTGATTCAAGTCTTCGCTTGTCTTTAGGTTTTATCACAAAATGATAACAATTTTCAAGAGTTTTTGTTTTCTACAGTAACTGTCAATATCTGTCAATAAGTAATAAACCGTTTATAAAGTTTTGTTTGAATTTAAATCAGTTTTAAAACTGTATAACTATTTCGTGAATTCATTGTTAATAGCGTTTTGTTTGTGAATAGAAAACAATTAATTCAACCGTTTTTTAAGTTTTCTATAGTTTTCAACACTTTGTCGGACTTAACGAGTAATGCATTCAATACTGTAATCAATAATACTTTTCACGAGATATTCATTACAACTCTTTTGAGAGAACTTTGATTTCATTTCAAACCAAAAATCGGTTTACTTTTGAGAATTCATTTCAAAGTCCTTTCATTTCATGTATTCATCGCTTCTAACCATAGACTAAACGTTTGGATAAAATGCTAAACACTTTGGCTTTCGGTAAATGAATGAATCAATTGATAGATTAAATGACGACATGTTTGTTTGTCAATAGTTTTAGTTTTGGTTTTCATTCAATTGGGAAATGGATTCAAGTTTTGTGAGAAATTCAAAGAAAACAATTACAAGATATCTTACGGTTACAGACATATAGTGAATGCAAACGACGCGTACAGACACTACATCTTCATTGGAAAAGACTTCTGGCGATTGAAACCAAACGACGTAATGGACGACAAATTCAAGACAGTGTCCATCGATGTGGAGAGCAGTGGACACAGCGATTGGTTTGGAGCCGACTATTCAATGGCTATCTGTCTGTTATATCTGTCATATGATAACATGGATGCAAGACATGAAGAATACGGCATCAGTGGACTCATGAAGGTATGCATTCAGACATGAGGTCTGCATTTGTGAAGCAAATGATCGCATATTTCATTTCAAACCATAATAACAGACGGGAAGTAAAGACATTGATTGGACTGTTTTGGACGCAAACCTCAACATTAATCGCAATTATAACCCAAAGGCCAAATCGATTGCTACCGACGCCCAGACAGCGACTATGTCTTGGGTTATGAATTACGTGTATAACCGAAAAAATAGCACACATCTGAGACACGTGTACTTCTGGGACGGATCTAAGACACTGTCGCGTCATTTCGCTGACTACAAGGACCCCGACCTCCCGGAAGGCATTGACGAGAGACGCCATTATAAACTTTACGACCTAATCCTCGCCAATCGCAAAGAGTCTCCAGTGATCGCAGTCTTAGGCCAAAGAGATTTGAGACAAATAAGTGACGATTCATTGATTGTATTGTTTCAACACAAACACGAGATTAAGTATTGTTACGCAGATCTCAGTCTCGACAAAATGCCAGAAGTGGTCAGTCATTTACAAATCCATTTCATTTCACTTCTCATTATTATGTAATTTGTGTTTTAATTCATGTATGACTCGTGTGTTTAGTGCGAAGACAAGAATCTCAAGACACTCATTGACTGCGATCTTAATCTTCCTCCGACACCGACTCCCACTCCAAGTGCCAGTCCCTCGACATCCAATTGGATTGCATTAGTGATACTCGTTATCCTTGTTGTTGTCATAGTTGTGGTCATGTATTTTGTCTATAAGTGGTTCACAAAACCCAAAACCGATGACAGTATGGAAACACATTTCAGTACAATTAAAATGAGTTACAAATTAATGATTTGTATTATTTGACAGATTCTGGACAACAAAGCAACGCATCGGCAGTCAGTGACGCCCAGAGATCCGGTATTTCACACATAGTTTTCATAATAAAATTATTTTCTAATATTTATAGTAATTATAAAATTGTCATTAATATAGCACTCGTCACACAGAAGAAGGGCACGAGTGTTGTCCCAAACCCGACGACTCCTACAAAATAATAATCTGATTATTATTTTCATTCAATTCTTATTGTTTTTAATTTTACCGAAACTTTTCATTTATATTATTTGTTTTATTCATTGATTGAAGTTTAAATTCTGTTTATTTGTTGTTTTGTTATTTATATTTTAAAGTAAATTTATTACTTATTTTATGTGTTAATGTAATCGTAATGTAATCGTCTACTAATTTAATGCAAATAACATTAATGTAAAAGCATTTTAACTGAATTTTGAGTTTAAAAATATTTAAATACTAAATTAATAAAAAATATAATTTTACAAAGAAATCAACGCTTGTTTTAAATCATTTAAAGACTGAATAATTGTATTATAAAAAATTTTAAACTTGTAAATACTTTTAACATAATTGAGACGATTTGTGTGATATTTCGTTGGCTGTCAAGAATCGTAATTATAATTTATAAATAGTAATAATAAGTAACAGAATTTTTTCACTGCAAAATATATTCACAATTTATTTATTTTTAATTATTAATTTTAAAAAAGTCTAATTTGTTATCATTTCATTGAATCAAGAATTATAGTATTTCCTGAAAGTAAAGGGAATTGTCTATAAAATGCTATTTTATGACAAAAATATGTATCAAAATGAAAAATACAACACAAATAACACTTTTAAAACTGCATTAAAAATCATCATTACATTAAGAACTAAGTATTGAATGAATAGCGATCGAGTCCTAGAGTGCAAACAACTGGGCGTCAGAGATGTGCCTAACATTTGTCTCTCTGCCTATCTTTTGGGACGTCTTTTGCAACATAAAGACAAACAATTAATTGTAAGTAACAAAACAATTGCTAATCAAATGACAGTAAATACTTACAGCCAATGGATTTGTACCGACAGATAGACTGTCCGACGGGTTGTGTTTGGACGGGAAAAGAGATACACGACGTGTGTATGAGTTTGGCCGACGCCTTCATCAACCGCTTTGATCTGAATCCGGGCGATACCGTCGGCTTCTGGTGTCCCAACAGCGATGTTCACGCCATCGCTTTCTTGGCCACCATATCCTCCGGAGCCACTTATCTTCCAATTGATCCCAATATGAGTTATGGTAAACAATTAATGAAAAACATATTATATTTATTTTTTAAATAACTTTACAAAACTATTTACCGTCAATGTGTCCACCGATCAGATGATGTCTATCGAGTGATTAAATTAAGTTCCGCTAAATTCTTGATCTGTTTGTCGGATAACACGAGTGAAGCGCTGAAAATATTACACGGATTACAGAGTTTGGAAGTGAGTCCAGAATTTGCTACCATTTATTTCAAACAATATTTTTAAAAACAACTTTTATTAGCGTTTGTTTATAATCGATGGTAACACCGATCCAGACATTGAAGACACAAAGAATTGTCACTTTTTAATGCAATACATGCGATACAAACACCGACCGGAGGCCGACNGTGTACGCAATTACAGGACTCGCAGATACTTCAGCTGACCGGCGATGACTGCATTGTCGGCCAACACTTCTCCCACTATTTAGGAGTCGTATTGTTTTGTCACTCATTAGTGTCCGGCAGTAAAATAACGTTCACTAACACACACTTCAATCGACAAAATACACTGCAATTCATACAGAAATATAACATAACAAATGCTTCGATAGATTTGCACGAAGTCTTGTATATGTGTCGAAATGATGTTGAGATCAAGAATAATAGGTTTTCATTTAATTTATTTATAAATCCGTTTATAAATTAGTTATTAATTATAAAATAATTGCATTAATACAGTAGTAAGTTATGCTATGATTTTTCATCGCTAACCGATATAATACATACCGGTTCACCACTTCCTCACTCGGACTCACTCACTGAAGAAGTGTTCAGAAAGTTATGTCCCAAATATTTCCGATCAAGTAATTTATTGATAATTATAATTATATATTAAGAAACATTTATTTAAACATTTATTCCCATATAGTATATGGAAAGCCAGAAACAGGTATCATATCCTGTGTGTGGAAAAGTATGTCGACATTTGACACAAACAAATGCATCGCAAACTACTATACTGTCGGACATCCGGTTCCCGGCGTTCAGATCAAGATAACACATCCGCAGACAGAGAAGTCCCGATCGGCCCATAAATTAGGCGAGATTTGTGTGAAAAGCCCGCAAACTATTGAAAAGTCACGCAACCTATCGATTGTAACCAGAAATGCCTTTACAATTGACGGCTTCTACAAGACTGGAGACGCCGGCTATTACGACAACGAAGGGCTACTGTATGTCGAGAGTCGAGTCAACGAACTCATCTATGAGGACAATAATGTGATCAATCCGTTCGTCGTTGAGGCCATTCTTCTGCAGCACTCGGCTGTGAAAGAGGCGGCCGTTATTGGCGTTCCCGACGGCACTTACGGCCAAATATGTTGCGCTTTTGTAGAGTTGGAGGCAAACTCTGCGGTCAGTGAACAGACATTACGAGAAATGGTTTCAAATAAGGGAAAGGAGTTGAGGGCAGGGATTAAGTTCATTGAGTCGATGCCCAAAACTTTGCGAAATCAAGTGAATCGCACGGCTTTACGAGTGATTTACCATAACTTCCACACATATTCTCTCATTGAAATGCTTTGAAGTAAATGTTATTAATTATAATTTAAATATTATTTTAAATATTACGTTAAACAAAACACTTTTAAAAGTCCTTTAATAAAGACATGTAAAGGACTTTATGTTATTCAAAAACTTCATATTTGAAATATTTCTCAATTATATATTTATTTATTTGATAAAACTTTTAGTTTTTTTAATTTAAATTAAACTAAATTTATATTTTGAAAAAAGTTGCGGGAGTTTTGCCACGAAAGTAGACCGAAAGGCAATTATCTGGCAATTTCTTGATATCGATATAAGGCTTGAATTTCAAACTTTTGGTCAATGTTTTCGCATAGATATAAGGTTTGTCTCCAAATAAGTTGTGATATTTAATGACATCTTCGTAGAGATCATTGACTGTAAATGCAATCACTTCTCCCCGTATTCTTGTCATTACAATCAAATCAATCACAAAATCCAAACATTTGCTAAAACTAATGAAATGAGTTTCCAAACGATATGAATGACCGAAACTGAGAAACTCATTGAGAATTGCCATCAAAACGACTCGATTTTGTCTCTCATTGTAATCATTGCATTCAAACTTAATGTCTTTCTGAATGAGATTTTGTGTCCATTTGTTCACTGGATTTGAATACCAGTGAAGAAACTTTTGGCAACAGTCGACACAATCGGGTTCTTGAGTTTTACCGCATTTTATGATTAAACCATTGATAATAAGATGTCTTAAATTTGGCAAAACTTCAGCCAATAGTTGGATTGAATGCGATTGAAGACCAATTTGTCCGTTGAGTGACAGTGTCTTTAGATTGCTTTTCCAGTCGTGAGATAATTGCAAATATGGCAAAAAACTGTATCTCAAGTCAACCTTCAGCGCCTGCAACGATCGCATCGTTTGAATCGCTTTTATTGAGATCAAGTAATCGCAGGAAATGACCGCTTTTTGCAACGACGGACACAATTTGCAGATCATATCGAAAATAAGCTGAGAATTTTCACTCTCACTCTCGGCGACCGTTATTTTGATTTCTTCTAATTGGCGGCCAATATATGTCACGATCTGATTGATGCCATTGTAGGTCAGGCCTGAATACGGATCACTATTGAAAATAAAACGCTTAACTTTTGTGTGCCTCAGCTTAAGAGTGAACTCAAAAGTTAGTGGTGAACAGCTCAAGAAGACCACTGTTTTCAATGTCGGTGAAAACAACAACTTGGTTTCAACCATCTTATTCTGCAGGTCATCATTAAAGCCAGACATTTGAATTGCAGTCATATTGTAAAGCAAAGTCCTCTCAACAACCTTAAAGTCTTCATCACTGTAGTAGTTATTGTGTCGATTCGAGTCCAATAACACATTTATCTTAATCTTTGGGAACAATGCAATAAACCATTTGAATAATTCTTCGTTTAAATGAAAGCAAAACAAATTAATTGCCTCCAAGTTTTGCAACTTTTTCAGATACCATTGATATTTGTGTTTCACTTGCGATATACTTAAAACGATGTTTGGTTTTCGACATTCATCTAAAAACTTGAAATCAACTTTGGATTTGTGGGGCGAGAAGACTATGGTTTGATCGGTTATGAGAACGGATATGATGTCAATTGATGCCAATTGATCGTCGATAAGACTATTGAATTGTTGCGATACACGACTCAAACGGCATTTGTCTTTCGCCGATATCTTTGACAGAATCTTATCTAAAATTAAGTCATTCACTATTTTTGATCTCTTTTTGGAAACTATTTGATTTGATTTCACCGACATTTTTATCGATTATAAATTAATTTGCTTTTATTGTAAATTTGAATTAAATTCTTAACAGTATTTTAAATACAATCCAAATCTTTAATTGTAAAATATAAATACGTGAAGATTTACAGTACATATTGTTGTTTATCAAAAATCATTATCCACTTTAACTCTTAATTTTGTCAATGCTTTTAGTGATTTAGGATTTGAGATTTAAAAAATTTCATTACGTTTTAATCCTTTTTAGTAGTAAATCTACATAAATCATAAGACCTATTGCCCATCTAATTATAACCTGGACACTTTAAATAATGTAAAATAGTCAAAAAGACATAAAATGTTGTAACTTTACTAAATGTGATAATTTTTAAGAGCAGTTGAGTTCATAATAAGAATTAAAATATATTTCAATCATTGCAAACAGAACTTCACAATATTATCAATTAGTATTTTGACAATTAACTAGGCAACTATTTTTTACAACTTTTAGAAAAACTTCTATATCTAAACACATATTTATTACGTACTGTATTACGTGTTGTAACGCACAGGTGTAAAATATACAATTTACATTTGAAGGTTTTTTTAAATAAACTTTTTTATTACTTGAAAAATAGTTATAAAAATATGAATTTTCATTATTTTTTATGATTTAAAAACTCAGGACACCATTTGATACAATGTTAAGAGTTGTGAATAAATGTATTTTTGGTCATTCAATGATAAACAAGTGTCTATCACTTCGACCACTTGTCCGACACGAGTCCCGTTTGGCCCAAAAACAGGCCATTTATGCGCCGAAGACATCGGATATCATTCAAAGCGTTCGTCGCAATGAAGCCATACTTTTTGACAAAAGTTATCATAAAGTTATGCGACAATTGTCTCGTCCGACCGCGAGAGCCGATGAAACCAATTCAGAGATCAATGAATTATCCAAAGCTAACGAGTGGTTCGCGAAAGTGATTGACTATAACGTGCCAAATGGTAAACGCAATCGCGGGCTAATGGCTATCATTAGTTA